AGAGGTTGTGAAAAATGTTCACCTAATGAAGCATGGGCATTTCCCTGTTAGAGGAGTAAAGCAATGCACCAAATGGCTTAGCTGTCCTGGAGCTTGCTCACATCCAGTAGCAACATGAAGTGATCTCTGACTTTTTTTCCCCTGCCCTTCCATTTCTTAGCTCACAGCTCTTGACCCTTAAAGGGCTTTTTGTCCCACTTCATCATATCCTGCTTCTTTTCTTTCAAGAGCATCCATAGGTCCCAGCATGTACAGTTGTAGCGTGGAGACTTTCCCTTCACACCTCAATTCTAGGTGTTATCCTTGGTTTGCTTATAATCTCACACCTGTCTCCTGGCATGCTTCCCCCAGCACAGTACATACAGGTCAGTCCTTGACCAGTAGGACATCCCAACAGGTTACCAGGCAATACCCAGGTGCTTTACTGACTGTGCTCAGCCCTCAGAGCTTTCAGGCCGTAGCACTGGTGACCACCAACTTTTTGGGGTCTCTCTCCACTTTCCTGTAAAGACAATCCAACAGCACAGCAACTACAGTTGGTTAACCCCTTCTTCCCAGGCCTGTTGCAAGGGTTCTTTATTTGCAGCATTGGCAGGATCCGGCCATTGCTCAACACATCCCTGCATCAACTGACCCCAAAGCCCTCCTCCCTTGGTCAGGGCAGTGCCTACAAGAGACACAGGGCTGGCTGACACAGATCTGGGAAGGTCACGATTGCCTCCCACACAGGGCACCCTGCAATCCCCCACTATCAAAACCCTGCCACTTGTGCCCAATGCTATTAGCAAAAGATATTCTCGAACAACATGATACAATGACTGACAATGTTTTTAGTGACTGCCAAGGAGGAGATAACTATCAGTAGAAGGTCAACTCCAGCAGGGACAAATTCAACGCCCACAGGAGTCTGTCATAATGACTACTGATAGATTGCTTCATCTGAACAGTGTTTCAATGAAAACCATCAGATAAAATCTTTTTGAGAGTCCCAGATGAGACATTATGCCTGTCCTGCATTGCACAGAAAGTGTTTGTAGAGTGTGTGAAGGGGTTGCATTTATTTTCACTGAGCTGTGATAAGCAAATGAAAAATCATTTCTAAATTGTGGCTGTGTCAATCATAATTTATTCAGTAAGCACATACTCTAAATTAGTTTCCTGTGCTATACAGAATAGCACCAAGCACAGCATTTAATAGGGCTTGTAAATTGATCATTAGCACATTTTACCTTGTTCACTCCCACATTTCTACCAGTGCTTTATGGAAAGGCTTGAGCTAAGGACAAGGAGGCAGGTTGCCAGAAGCCCCATGTTATGGACTTGGTCACACCTTAACTAGGACCTGCAAACTGTTACTAGACCACAGTAATATAATTAATTTATTTTAAAGTATTCTAGGGCTTTCCCTTCTCAAAAAAAAAAAAAAAAAAAAAAAAAAAAAAAAAAAAAATATCTAAAAGAGATTATTTGTAGGAAAAGTACCATATATCAGTAGGCAGTTTTTGAGCTGTTATTTGCTGCAAATGAATTTCTGTTTATTGTTTTTCTATTAGTGATATAATGAGGGAAAAGCATTGAAATTGTCAACATAGTCCTTATGACCACTCTCTGATTTGCTAATGAACATTGTATTGGATATGTGCACACATCCAAACTCAAAGCATAAAATAGTGCACCTACAATTCTTTCTGCTGGTTCACAGCTCACTGCCAGCAGAAGAAACCACTTCTGCTAATTGCATCGCCCAACAGAACTTCTCTCTTCTCCGATGACTTTGGTTGATCATCCATTAGTATTTCTATGTGTTTTTACAGTGTAAAGTGCCAGCAGACACAGAAAGGGAGACTTGAAACTGCTGTCTGCAACTTGTTAGTGCCATCTCTCACAGCCACAAAAGTTGGGCTTTGAGATATTTGTTTATGAATATCAGCACCTTGATGCCAGGCTTTGCTATAGGGGGATTAATTAGGGAAAAGTATGGCTATCATCTGAGGTATTATTATTTAAGAACTCAGAACATCAAAGATATCAAAAACATCTGGCCAAAATGAGTTGCAGTTAATAGGGGATGTAGGAGGTAATATAAACTGTTTCTAGAAATATATCAAAAGTAAATGGCTAGTGGAGGAAAGTCAAGACCTGTTACCAAAAGGAAAAGGGAACCAGTAACTCAAGAGAATGATGAAAAGTTCAATGATGACTCTGTGTTAGTCCTCTCAGCAATTAAGATTATGATCTGATATTTAAGATGATTGCTTTGAACAATAGGATTTATGTGAATTGGGAAAGAACAAATTAAAGAATACATGGAGTTACGCAAAGTGGCAAGGTCTTATATAACCCACCCTGGCATGGTTCAGGAATTAGGAGAGGAAATCTTTGCTATCAGTTTTTATGTCTGAATTCAAAGGAGAATGGAGATTTTCCAGAAGCCCAGAGGGGGCAAAGCACAGTAATACCTGTCTTTAAAAGACAAAGTAGCAGGATCTGGGGATTTACAAACCTGTCATTCTCATTTAAATACCTGGAAAATGTGATAGCAAAATATTAAATAATCAGTATATCCACATATGTAGGGTAATAGAGAATAACTAAGTAACAAGGAAATACCAATATAAACTTATCAAAAATAAAGTTGTTTCAGACTAATCCGATCTGATCTGATCTAATAAATAAAGCAGAAGCAATAGATCAAGCTTATCTGGGTATCAGTGAGGCTTTTGGTATTGTCCTATATTCCATTGTGCTGAAATATGAACCAATAAAGTCACAGAAAAATGCACTATAGGTGCAGGTGCTCTGCTATGCCTGGAAGGGCTCAAACAAAACCAAGATTTCTAACCAAAACATTTACAACCTACAGTAGTTGCTTGCACCTGGAAGATAAAAAAGAGGACATAAAACAGAATATTGGCAATATTGCATAGCATGCACTGCAAATGATGTTTGCTTTTAGTATAGAAGAAAAATACCCGTATCCACTAGACCTAAAAGCTCCAGATGATAACCAGTGTCACCAAAAGCATAGTTCACTAGGCGAGTGTCTACAACATGTAATGCTGTGTAATAAAGAGGCTCGACCACCCATTCTTCAGATGCTGGTTGAAAACAATCAGAAATCGAAAAAGAATACAGATGTCCCAAGACTGAGGTGATTCTAACAATGACAAGGTTAATGAAGAAACAAGATAAAGGATGTAGATATGTTCCTGCAGTTAGATGTGTGCTTCAACACTTGAGGTTTTGGCAGGATGAACTTGGGGAATAAGACTTTAACATCTTATACCTATATTAAGGTAATGTCATTACCCTGTTTGTGCAAATACTTTCCCTTGCTCGAGTTATGAAATGTGCATTGCTGACATTTTGGTTTGTACTCATTAATCCATTTTAGGTTGCCTTCTCTTTCAAGGTTCTCAGTTCCACTTGCCTGTTTTATTCAGTTCACCAATCCTGCCTGACACCCCTGTTATAAATATGACAGCATAGAGTCTCCTCTGTTACTGCCTTTACTGTACTTACTAAAATGTGATCTTCATCTTTGCTTTTGGTTCTCAAGCACTACAGTGCTTTATTAAGTACACAAAATATGACCACTATTTTTCAGTAATTCTGCATCCAACAGCCAAATGTCTATATGCATATTGAGCACTGACACTCATCAGCCAACAGATCCAGTAACCACATCACAAATGAGAACCCAATCCTTTCAGGAATTACAAATGTGTCCCCTTTTTACTGCCAAGTTACCAGCTGAATCAGACAAATGTCTTAATTAAGAATACATCTGAAAAGCTTCCAATCAAACCATAATATAAACAATGGTATTTTAAAGACCTGCAAAAAGACAAAGAGCATTTCTGTCACTCAGTCCAGAGAATTATACATACAGATCTGCGAAGACAGTCTTGCATTTGAATAGTATCTCAGCATTCATTATCTGAGAGCACAACAATAAAACCCACAGTTAACATTTTAACATTACTGAGTGTATGCTGCACACTCAACTTCTGTTTGGTTTTAGTAAAATTTAAGAGCATATCTGACATTTATGCCCGTAAATAGGTCCCTGTAAGACTTCAAGCTGTTCTGACCTGTAGAATATTCACAGTACAGCACCTGGATTTCGGGCTGTGCTCGTGCACCCAAATTGGCTCATTGCAGCCTGGCTGCGGGCAGGTTCTGGCTTACATGATGGCACCATCTCTGCCAAACTGCCAACCCACCCATTGCAGACAATACTATTATAATCATGTTCCCTCCCAAAGGTTGTACCATTTATCTCTTCTGTGACTTGCTTGCAGAAAGAGATTGTAACACAGAGACAGAAATACACAGGTCATTTCAGTGAGAAGTTGAGAAAGGCACACTGCTTGCAAACACTGTTCCTTGCTCCTGCAGCTTTCTTAGTGCAAACTAGAACTGCAAACTTGATGTCTGCTGTGACAGCCATAACATTTGGGAAAAAAGAGGAGGAAGCACCATTGAATTACACCCAATTCTTGCTTTACAGGAGAGGGTGTAAACTACTGAGGGACATGCCACAGAATTAACAGCTTAACAATGAGCAACACGAGACTTACAAGGTACATCTGTCCTGTAGGAGACTACGGCTATCGATACACAAAGATAAGAGAAAGTAATAATGAACCTTCTTAAAGAATTAAAATTAAGACTTGCTGCAGCTTGGTTCTAGTGAATACAGGCTGGTAAATGTTCTCTTCAGTTAACTTGTAGGTGACAATATCTGCTGTTGCTTTATTCCCTCTGTTTCACCCACTTAAATTTGGTCCATGCAGTCCATAGTGTTTTAGTCTGTGAAACTCTCTGCAAGCATGCAGGGTGTCTGCCAGAAAGCAACCTAGAGAATTGTAAGCCTGTTCAAAGCCATGCTTTTTAGGACAGTATGAAAAGCAGACCCAGCTTTTCTTATTGCATCTTTTGCAGCAATGAGCTAAATGTAACAATTTCATGTCACCTTTTTCTTTTTCTCTGCACAGAAATGGTTTCCATCAAAACTGAAAATGTTACACAACTTTACAACAACATGGCCACCCAGGAGCTCACAGTCAGTCCCACAAACTTCTGCAATAATTCGGGAGTGCATCAGCTGAATCAATATGAATGTATTAATTCAGATGTATGGAAATGGCTACAGGATTTTCAGCCTGGATTTCTCTGGTTTATATTTATTCTGGGAGCCATAGAAAATTCCTTTGTCCTCATCGTCCTGTGTTTCCACAAGAGTCGCTGCACAGTGGCTGAAATTTACCTAGCAAACATGGCATTTGCTGACCTACTGTTAGTCTGTGCTTTACCTTTCTGGGCCATTAATATTTCTAATGAATTTCAATGGCCTTTTGGCCTGTTCCTCTGTAAAGCTGTCAACATAATGAGTAACACAAACTTTTATTCTAGCATTTATTTCCTGACACTAGTGAGCATCGACCGCTATCTGGCCTTGGTGAAAACCATGTCTCTTGGACGAATGCGACGAACTGTCTGTGCCAAATGGAATAGCTTTGTTATCTGGGTGTGTGCCTTGCTCATATGTTCACCTACAATGATGTTCCGAAATTTACAGTATTACGAAGAATACAACATCACAGCCTGTGCTCTTATTTACCCAGCCAGCTACTGGGAGCCTGCAAACAACTGCTTGCTGAATATTGTGGGGTTTGTGATCCCACTCTGTGTAATTACCTACTGCACTGTGCAAATCATCAAAACCTTACGAAGTAGTGAGCTACAAAAAATGAAGTTAGTCCAGACAGAGAGGAGAGCCACCATGCTGGTCCTTGCTGTGCTCTTGCTGTTCATCATTTGCTGGCTTCCATTCCAGATCAGTACATTCATTGACACAATCCATTATCTTGCACCCACTTTCAAATGCCTGGAAGAAATCAATGACATAGTGACCCAGGTAGCTACGTACTGTGCCTTTAGCAACAGCTGCCTGAACCCAGTCCTGTACGTAATTGTCGGGAAGCATTTCCAGAAGAAGGCTGTGGAATTCTACAAGGACTTGTTCCCAAAGAGGTGCAGAAAATCACAGTCTGTGCAGATGGAAAACTCCTTGGACACTTTAAGAACTTCCATTTCAAGTGAATACCCAAGGAAAAAGTCTGTTTTCCCATTACCACAATAGAAAATTTTTCAATACAGGAAAAAAACGTCTAACATATCCGTTTCCACTAGTATCCATCTGTTACTGGTCCACAGAATAAACATGTGGTAGTACTCACCATTTGTGGGAAAACAGTGGTTTTGTCTTAATGGAAACTCCATACAGAGACCTGCTTCTAATGTTATTGGACATTTTTCATGATTGAGTCCTACTTTGTAGCATACTTACATTTTCATGGCTGAATAATATTTCATGCATGTATCATTTGAAATGTTTGCCTTTCTAAGGTGTACCTACATGTACATGCAGTTCTCTGAATAGAGCCCCAGTATAGAGGCTATTGTCAGAACTGTGCAACTACTTATGGTACCCATTCAGTTTGTTAAACTAGATTTTGCATAGGAGGGGTTGTATATGAGTAAATTCTGGTAAATTAATCCTGTAGGACTATTATTTAAATGGATTTTTAGGTGTGGCCATCTTCTGGGCTTTTACTTTCTCTGAACAGTCATCCAAAACTATTGTGATGGTTTGATAGACAAGCTGTGCCTTTTTGCAATTGCTCTGCCCTGTTAGTTGCAGGTTTACATCAGCTTGCATGTATGAAAAGTATTTCAAAAAAAATAAAGCAGTAACAGAAGGAAGGATGCAGCCAGCTGCATGAAGTTGAGTTTTCTTTGTATCAGGAGATTCTTTACCCCTTCTGCATGGTGGTAAAAGCATTCACTTACTCATTTTGAGTGAGCGAATGTTACTTAAATTCATACCTGCACTTCAGATCAGAGACTTAGCTTTTAATATTCACAAAGCATGATTAATATTCATAGTGTTGTTTAATGAAAACATAAAAGCTCAGCACAACTGGTATAATCTCACAAGTAGAAGAAACTGGGAATATGAAGGAAAGCATCACCTAACTGCCATAGAAATCTAACTGAAGCTAATAGGAGTCTTGAAAGGTTCAGAGTATTCAAGAATGGTCTTTTCAAACTAGAATAATCTCTACATTTTATTTGTTGAGTTAATCTGAATTATTTTAATACAAATAGCTTCTCCCCAGTTGGACTGGATTTATGATCTAAATTGAGTTGACTCAGAAGATAAACTCATATTGTACTGAATTGTCAGTATGCACTTTTACCTCTAGAAACCTTGATCAAAAACTGAGTTGGAGATGGTCTAAAATCTTCTGAAACTAACAGAGTCTTTGCTCTTTTCAAAGCACTTAAGGTTACAGCCTTAAAACCACCAAGGCAAATAGAGTTTGGTGACATAATTAAACACAGACTGCAACTGCGTGTTCTTTATTCATCAGAGCTTGAATGGAGAAATAAAGTTCCATTTAACATAGGAAATTTGTATTAAACCTTCAAATAATTAAACCCCCAAATGCTCTAGAAGTGTGCAGGTGCTATAAAAAACTATGGGATTTAAATCCCTGTAGATGATTTATAGACAATTTCCATAGGTTTTGTTTAATAATTCAGTATAATCCCACATTATAAATACTTCTATTGTTCATTGTTTGTATTGTCCAAGACACCTATGATGAAACACTGCAAGGCTTTCTGTTATCTCCAGTGTTATCAATACTGTCTCATTCACAAGCATGCTGTTCATGCAAACATTAAATAAAAGGAACTTCATACAGAGGTTACTGAGGCAACGGAAGAGATTTTTGAGTATTTGGTACTGAGAAGTAAAATATAAAAATGTTATTATATTAATATGACATTAATTTAAATCATGTAAATATACAGACACATTATTTTGCTATGCAGTAAGCATGTACAACAGAAAATAAATTACTTTAAGAATGAGATTTGCAGTCATTTTCTTCTCTAGCCAGTATCCTATTACTGAGGAATAATGTCAAAAGTGCAACTGTTGCAGGTACGTACTTTTACTTTCCATTCTACCAAATGAACAGAAGCTGAAACCACCAAATTTTAGCTACTTTCAAAGCTTTGTGTCAGCTTTCTTTTCAGGGCCCATTTCTGAGAAATGGTGACCACCTTCAGCCCTTTTGGAAGTTAAAATCTGAACTAAGGCAGCTAAGGATACTGAAATATTTTCAGTAGCTTTTCTCTGGCCACTGGTAGCTCAAGGTCCCATGAAACAGCAGATTACTACTTTTCTTTGTGAGGACCTGGGGTACACAAGAGCCTAGAGGTGCTGTTTGCAGGATGAGCCCTCTGCAAACAGATGGGCTTTCTCTCAAAGCACACAGACACTAGCAGCAATGGAAAGCCCCTGCAGCAGCCTCTGCGGACCACAGAATGCACAGTGTCGGCTCACAGACTGTTTATTTCATGTTCTTGCTCACTTTCCAGTGTGATCACACACTGTGCAGTATGTGCATGTACTGTTATGCAGCAACAAAAAAACCCTAGAAATAAAGTACAATGTCCAAGCTACACCTTATACCTACTGGCAGTCTGCAGTCACATTCAGATGCTTGGTTCTGTCCTCACAGAAACAGGGCAAAATATGAGGGTCTTGGTAAAATGAGGGCAGAATTTGTGCTGAGGATCTCAGAGCTGGAAATGTCAAACTGTAATCACATTTTTATTCCTCTTTATCCTGTCCCCCTCCCACAGTTGCTTCCATCTTCCCTTTTACCTGAGGCTGCCACATATTTTAAGACTTTGGTCACGCAGATGGCTGACTCCACATTCAGTCCAATGGATGTGGCTGGGGACCATTGCCAGAGGAATGGCAAGAATAGCCAGGTGATATTTTTGGCCTGTAGTAGCTACAAGCAGGAATAATTCTCATCTTTTCACTGTCTGTTTTTTTTCAAGTTGATTAGTGGCTTCACTTGAAATCCAAAATTAATGGTCTTGAAAGCTGTTAGCACAAACAGCTGGTGCTTGTGGACAGGCCAAGACTGCTCTTTTTTAGGCAGGGTTTTGTGGACAAGTCAGGATCTCGGTTCAAGTTGCACAAATGCCCAAGCAGTACTTTAGCCACTGAATCCTCCTTTCACTCCATTCTTCCATCAGCACAATGTAGGTTTCCAGCCTATATTGTCTCTTTCCATATCTTGCTGTTCCAGCCTCAGTAAACTGTAGTTAGTACAGCTTGATTATTACTGTGCTGTGAGGCTACCAGGATCATTTATTAGGAATTGTAAATCACTGCACCAGCATTTAAGCTATCCCTAGCAACCATTGTCTGTAGTATCTGTAAAGGAAACCAACCAAGCTGAACAAAGAATTTTACATCACAAGATCACATCAAAAAACTTTTCTCCTGTTCCAGAATAGATGAATAGTTATAGCAGATAACTGTGTTGATTTGCAAACCATTTCAATAAAGAAAATCATACTATTAAATCATACTGTTCCAAAAAGATACCTTGTTTAGATCATTAAATGTTCCAGGTAAGGAAGGAATGCAAGGAAGATGCAAGGAAGGGCTGAACTGCTGAACCAAGAGCCAGAACTCTGCAGACCTTTTGGATTTCTGCCATTTGTCTACCATGTAATGTGTGTAATAACTGAGCAAACAATCCTACCTCTGCCTTCAACAACATATTTGTTTAATCTTTCTGATTAGAGAGGCTCAGTTAAGGTTTGTAAATTCCTACGCAGCTCTAGAGAATGTGTACTTTTTGCAGGAAAGTTAACATAGACAGGGTGGCTGAAGATCAAGCTTAAAACATAAACTAATGTACTGTGAGTATCCCAAGTTGAAGGCACCAATAGGCAGATATGTTTTAATCATGTATACACAGTAAAAACTTTTTAACTGTTGACCCTTATATAGATATTTTTAAACTAATCCTTCACATTCCTTTAATTTGTTGTCCATTACATCTGTGTAAAATGTAAAAAGTTAAGAAATAATCATATGCTTTCTACAGGTTGAAATGAAGACTCCAAGTTGCAAAGAAAAAATAAATTAAATTCCCTTTTTCTATAAAGTTGTGGCTCCCTATGTGGACTTGTTCTAAGTTGGTTATGAGCTGGAGCTACTGCGGTGCCCATTCTTTTCACTATTTCCGCTAAATATAGACTCCCAGTTTTGAATGTCTCTCCAATACTGAAAGCAGTTCTAAAGATCCCAATGAAAAACAACAGAAAATAAGAAACTAGATTTACAAAGAGGAGTAGGATTTGCAAAACAAGATTTTGACCTCATTTTGAAGTGATGAGTTTCATAAGACTATGCTATTTATCATATAAATTTTAGACACAGCTGCAGTTTTCTGTTCAGTCACTGAATAAATGTGAATGTTGGCGTCTCCTAGAGATTCATGTCCAAGCAAGGATGAATTCCAGATTTCTTTCTTCTTATTCTTGCTCAAATGTTCTTCTTTATGGAGAAAATAACTTAAACACAGAAATGCACTAGCGTAAGCAAAGAGGAAGTTTTAGAAAGTCTGTGACGAAGATCTCCTGTTGTATTGCACTTACCTTAATGAATCAGCGTGGGATGTGTTGTTTAGAGATTAGTCTTCCGTAGGTTATTAGGATTCCTTAGGTAACATGTAATTCAAAAATTATTGTTCAAAAATAGGCCGTTTATATTCAAAAATATGCCATTTAAATATATGAAGTATTTATACATTTTAAATCTTCAAATTAAATGTTGGGTTCTTTAGAGTTTTCTCCAGTGTGATGGTGTTAATAGGAACAATTTTTCAAATTTTTAAATTTTACCAGTGTTTGCGTAACTCTAAGTTATTATCTTTTTAATGAATAAAAAGTTGGAATAAGTTATTTACCATGATGATAGGGAAGTTCATAATAAGATATCACCGTGCAACCTCACATGGTTTTTCATTTTAATACACTTATCAAAGAATATACACAGTTGAATAAGAGTTCAGAGACATGGTACATGTGTTGGGTAGGTAGCTAATGGGAAGAATGTTTTCAGATAAGTAAATAATATTCCAGTCCCTTGATAATTTCTCACCTGATTTTAAAAAGAAGTTGAAAAATCCTATTGTTTACACAGATATACTTGAGAGATTTGTATTTAAAATCTGAGACGCATCAGATACAATTTTAAAAATAATATTGCTTTAATCAGAGGACAAGCAGAATGAAAAAGATTAAAATTTATAAACAACTAATCTTAGGCTACAAGGTCCCAGCAGGTAATCAGATAAAAAGAAAATTATTTATGAGTGCAAGCCTGAGAAAATACAGCAGTCATCGTGTGCTACAGGGAAATAGTAATGCTCACAGAGACTCATAGACACCTATAGTGGGGTGCCCTAGACACCTATAGTGGGGTGCAGAAGGAATTGCTTTTCAAAAATGGTGGAAAGGCTGACATGGGGTTAGGTGGGTTCACATTTCAGAAGCTCTTCCCCTACACTAATTCTGTTTTAACCCCAGCTCCTTGTCATGGTCTCCCCCAGGCTGGCAGTGGAAAGAACTCCCACCACTACAAAACCTAGTTCAGAGTTTGTCTTTGTGTGCATTGGCACTGAGAGAGCAGTCAGATAAAATTGTCATTGTTACAGACATGGTTAATCATACAAAGAAACTTTTAATTGTCAAAGATCTGTAATTGAGAGCTTTACTTAGTGGTCACAGGAGGACAAAAGTCATAGCATATAGCTTATATGATTTCACAATGAGAACAAAATATTTCACATGCTTTGAAAATTACTACAGCTGACTTCTGGAGAAGTTAAAAAAAAAAAAAAAAAAATCCGGGCTTTCTTCCAAAACATAAGATCACACACATCGTACATGGCCAACAAAGCACTCAGACAGAACTCAGTCACTCAGTGGTGCCTCAGGATGTATCTTTGAATTCCCTCAGTAACCTCTATACTGTTATTTACCAACTGCTTCTGAATTTGAAACTTTGCCTAAAGTGCCAGAAAGGACAAGGAGTAGGTATGTCTCTCTGTTTTTAATGTCTTACATTTATTAAAATTATTTCACGTTCTTTTTATATTAAAAAAGTCTGTTGTGCTCTCAGTTCTGATCTGTGCCGCGTAGTAAGTTTCCCTTTCTTTTTCACTAACTGTGAAGGTCAGGATTAGTTATCTTTATGTGTAAAAACATGATTAATTTTATAAAATCTCTTTATAGTTGAACATGTTTAGCTATTTGAATAATTTTCTCTTACAAAGTAATCTTTGGTTTTAAGATTGCTCCCAATGTTGTACTTATTTAGTGTTCCCAGAATAACACTATCCTAACCGGGCAAGATCTATTAATAGTAATAATGTTGATAGATTCACTGTACAAGGAAATTAATCAGAAAGCAGTTCAAAGTAGGAAAAATATGTCATTATTTGCCTCAAGATGACTGGAACGTGTTAAGTACAGAAACTGAAAACTACTCATGAGGCTAATTGTCCATTAGCGCTAAATACTTAAGAATACTTACAGAAGAAAATTGCCTTTGAAGAAGAAATGAAATTAAGCAACTGAAAATGAATTGCATTTTCTGTCAGAAAGACATCTGACCTCTAGGTTTATAAAAGGCTTGTGGCTTGTGGTAGTGCTTGGACACTGGCTAGTAGACTCTGAAGAAATTTTCCCCATGACAAACTCTACAGAAACTTCTTGTACAATTACTAGCTGAACAAGAAGTCAGATTTAGCTGTGGCTCAGATCTAAGCTTCAATGGAAAGTGAATGTTCCTGAAATTTTTAGTTTAGCCCATAATGAATAAATTTGTGGCTCCAGCCCAGAGATCACAGACAG